CTCCCATTCGCCAACAAGTGCTTCTTCGATGGTGCCATGGATGCCTTTGGTGAATATGCGGTGGGGACAAAGTTGTGCATCAAGGCGTGTCACATTGCGTGGATTATCATGGTGGTGAGCTATTTATTCTCCCTCTCCTGTCATCACCAATTCATTGGGTTCTCCCCAACCCTGCTACCCCATTCATTTCCAGGGTTTTCAACAAATGTTTCACTATGCTTTCCATCCTTGCATGCCATGTATGGTGCTCCCAATACTTCACTGTTTCCCCCTTTGAAACATGATCCACAAATCATTGCATGCCCTCCAAACTCCATCATCGTACATATCGATTACGGATTGTCAAAGAAAAACAAGACAACAATGAACCTCACCAACTCCCACCGCAAGAACACCAAATGGGTGACAAGCATCCGCGCCGTTGTGAAAAGGGTGGTGAGGGATCACTTCACCCGGGCCAGTCCGACCTACAACCCACGCATGAAGGGCTTCGAATGGGGGCCATTTGGCCTTTTTGTCCACGAGTCGGGCTTTGAGGAGTACAGGGCCACACCAAGCACCCGCACTCCGGTGGGGAGGGTGGCCACATGACTGAACTAGAGTGGAGGTTGCAACGGGGAGGAGCAGCGGGTTGTAAACAATGCGAATAGCAGAGAAAGGAGTGGGGAGCCACAGGGAAGCAACAGTGGAGGGGGCAGCTGCAGAACTGGTGTGGGGTGTGCTGTGGAGGAGTAGCGGTAGGGAGAGTATGAGATGAACAGCAAAAAGGGAAGCTATGTTGAGCTGTGAGACGGCAGCGGAGCAGCGGAGGAACGGCAGCTGGGATAGGCAGTAGGGGATCTGCTTGGGGCAGAAATGCTTGAAGTAGAGCAGTCACAGCACTGGGGGGAGCAGAGGTCACAGCACTGAGGGGAGCGGAGAAGGGGTAGCAGGGGGAGCAGAGGTCACAGCACTGGGGGGAGCGGAGAAGGAGCAGCAGGGGGAGCAGAGTAGTCACAGAAGTGGGGGGAGTGGAGAAGGGGCAGCACGGGGGGGGGGGGGGGGGGGGGGGGGGGGGGGCAGAGTAGACACATCAGTGGGGGAATCGAAGAAGTGATAGCAGCGGGTCAAGTAGAGTAGTCACAACAGGCGAGAGCAAAGAAGGGGCAGCAGCGGGGAAGAAGAGTAGCCACAAGAGTGGGGGGAGCTCCAAAGAAACAGCAGCTGGGGAGCAGAGTAGTCACTGAGCAGTGGGGGACGAATAGAAAGGGCAGCAGCAGGGGAGCAGAGGTCTCTGTAGTGTGGGGAGCGGAGAAGGGGCAGCAGGGAGGGAACAGAGAATTCACAACAAGGGGGGGAGCGAAGAAGGGGCAGCAGTGGGAGAGGAAGAGTAGTCACATCAGTGGGGGGGGGGGCGCAGAATCACAGCAGCGGGTCAAGCAGAGTAGTGACAAAAGGGGCGGGAGCAAAGAAGAGGCAGCAGCGGGTGAAGAAGAGTAGTCACAACAGTGGGGGGAGCTCCAAAGAAACAGCAGCTGGGGTAGCAGAGTAGACACAGATCAGTTGGGGAAGCGAAGAAGGGGCAGCAAAGGGGGGAGCATAGGTCACAGCAGTGGGGAACTCCGGGCCAAAGAGTGCAATTAGGAGACGAGGAGAAGGGGATTGCAGCAGCAGCAGCTCAGAGTAACAGTAGAAGGCTGTGACAATGTGACACTAGGAAACTAGATGCAGGGATATGAAGCAAAAGCAATGTTGTAGTAGCCTTTTTAATTCCTAATTTCCTGATTTTTGCAAGCACACATCGTATGTCGGTGGGAACCATGGAAAAAGCTGTTTGGTGTTGGGTCGAGGCGTTATCGGACGTTGTCCAAAGTATAATTATGGCTGTGTACAAGGTAAAAAAACATACATGATGCTCCTTCCCAATTGTATAATTTACTCGTAATGGCACTTTGCTAAACCATGTCAGAATCCAATTCAAACTTATAACAAAAGACAGCAAAGCACCATTTTTACACTGCATAAATGTCAATAGGTGACTCAATCATGTCCATAACAAGGTTTCCAAAACCCCAAGAGAACTTCCTTCGCATGTATTCAAAACCATTTCAGAACCTGCCAATCATACAGAAATCATCTGACACATCATTTGAAAAAAGTTCGATACTTTCTTCTAAAAAGGTTTGAAGCCCTACATTTTGGAAACATTCGAACAAAGTCTTCAAACACACATCATGTATAGTTTTCAGATAGTTGATTTTTGTGATGGAGTTAAAGCCCGTTGCGGCGATGATCGACTCGATCGGACCGTTGGCGGGCCTGCGGCGAGGGAGCATGGACGACTCTGAGGCGGACCTGGAGGGGATGGAAGAAGCAGAACCGCTGCTGCGGGGGGGGGGGGGGGGGGATGGTGGGCGCCATGGGTGGATGTGCCATATTTTGTAAACATGCGACTATATACGTATTAGGGAGGAGACATTTTTATGGGAGTTTGGGTTAGGGATGGTTAGCATTTCGTGGTAAGGGTTTACTAGAGCTTGGCGACATTTTGTTACACGTGTGTACTACTGATGAAGAAAACAACCTTGCGAATAGAAGGTGACTGGTACAAACTATTGTTTCTATTTCGTACCTAAATTGTACCCATCATAACATTGTTTGGTTGCTGTTGCACGCACCCTTTACATTTTGCACACGATGCCCATCATTATCCCAATCAGTGCACGTCCCTCATGCGTTCGAACACGAGCAACAACGACACATCGTTTACAGTTACGAAGACTGCGTACATGCAGCCTAGAAACCCCAAGGAACATCATCCACAAATTCACAGATACTAAAAAAATGTAACGTTCGAGTTCATTCAGAGTCCCATGTTGCCCGTGGCGAAATCGACGAAGGAATGTGAAACTCCAATGCTCACTACAAATTTCTATATCTCAATGGAAAATCGACTCCGCCCAGCAAGCTTGGTTCCCCGGGAAAAAAACAAAACTAAATATTTTATGAAATGCACGCAAGATGAGATGTATCAACCCTAAATACATTGTCATATGGTGTTTAGGGTTGATACCATCTTCGGATGGCTGCCATCCGAGAGGGTCTTAGTTATTTTCCTGCCCGTCGTTTAGTGGACGACGGTCGACGGGGCCGTCGTCCCCTTGTCCTTTGAGAATACAGTCTGATACCAGCCCAGAACTGTTTTTGACTGTAACGAGAATCGTTTGTACCAAGTTGGTGTTGCACCACGCAAGCCTCAGGCCCCAGCGACAGCCACACACAACTAGACCACACTTCTCACATTCAAAGTTCCATTCCAACCCAAACCCACTCGTGTCAGATTCGCTTACACTAATAAATTACAAGCCATAGTTCTTTCCATTGCTGCCCTATCAATTAACTCTGCAGGGTAGTGGCAATAGTGGAGGTGTCAATCAACTAGTTGGCATATCATGGTAAATGTGCGTTGTGGGTATTAAAAACGGTGAAACAAGTTGACTGTTTGGCTGTCCTTTCAGAACGAGGTCACTGCTGACCGTTGACCTTCTTTCGTGGGGTACCTTTAAAAACAGTAACTATCTGGTGTATGTACACTTGTCGCACATTCAGCCGCCCCTTTTTGAAGAGTCCCACACAGAGTCTACACTACAGTACGTACATTCAGCAGCGTTTCACTGTTTTCATTCAACCGCTAGCTTGGCGTGGTGGTGGTGGTGGTGGTGGTGGTGGCGGTGGAGGTGGTGGCTGAGTGTGAGGTTTTGTCACTTGCTCCCCCGTGGACGATCAACGAAGGAACATGTACACCCTCATTCTCGATAGACTGGCATATGTTATACTGACCGAAACGCTTAGTGTGACCGCACCGGACCTAAGAAGGTCTTATCACATGCGTTATAGTGACAATTTGACCCAGGGCGTTTAGTAAAGGTTTTTTAAGTTCTGGAACGGTACTCTTGTTTTCAAAGCGGTTGGGATGGTTATTCAATGTTAATGGTTTTTTACGGCCCAAGGCGTGTTTCAAACCCTCGTGCGACTTTGCACGCAACCGAGTTATCTCACCAGCCCGCTACGTCCAAACACTGTAGCCAGTGCTTCCGCCGGTGAGATAGGTGAGAAAGAGGGTGTACAGCGACAGCTGGTTGACAGCTAGGGGCTCCTTTCTCCAAAACTTCACCCTTTTCGGGCAGTCTTCGTCCTCGATCACCCGTGTACACGTGCTAGAATCAAACCCCAGGGTGCATTTTTTCTCGTCACCCTCGTGCATATGTATCGAGCATTAGTGTGCGTATCAGTGTCTGGGTGAGTGGAATGTCACACATCGCAACCAAGCAACAAGTGTACGCCGTTCTTCCACCCCACAAAACACCTGAATATATGTTTCTGTCCTTAGAGTGCCTGGCTGACACTACAGATTAATCGGGTCAAAAGGAGTTAGCGTGTCAAATTGGTTTCCGTGACCCGATTTGAGGGCAAACTGAGACGCGCTGCAGTGTTTGAACGTCAAGCTGCCATTAGCAATATCCAAGGCCTGGGGATTCGTTTGGGCCTCCTCCGAACAAGACCTACAACTTCTGGTACAAGCTGCACCCAGGCGACCTGGGGGGAGTGGTGCTGTACCCCTCCTTGCTGCAACCAGATGACGTGGGGGGAGTGGTGCTGCCTGGGCTTGCAGAACTTGCTATAGCAGGCAACGCTGAGGGCAGCTTCGTGGATGGTGACATGGCAAAGCAGTATAGGGCATAGCAGAGGGCAGAGCAGAGCAGATTACACAGGGACTTACAGACGAGTGCGCAGCAGAGGGAGTGGGAGTGGATATGTGAGGAGGTGGCATTGAGAGCATAGGAGTCAGCATCATGCAGCTGGGACCCATCACCAACCTCGGCCAGGCAAGTGTATCGAGTGCGCACCATTGTAACGAGGTGACCTTTGAGACGACTCAATAGATGGTTAGGAAGAGGGCAGGCCGGGATAGATCAGCATCATGCAGCCGGGGCCCATCACCAATCTCGCCCAGGCAAGTAATGCCAAGTGGACAAGTCTCCATCCAACCCCTCATGCTCTTGACCATGCACCTCTCTCCATTCACGCCTCAGCCCACACTCTTTCAGTCCCCTCATTTCCGACTTGCCATCCACCCCCTCGTCCTGTGTCCTGCGTCCACGCGGTTTGCCTGAGAGGCCTCATGTCTGCATCTCGAGAATTTTCATAGCATTTGAGATGGCGCATATTTGGTTGCTCCAGGCTGGCCCTTGCTCTCTGTCCATCCCCAGCATTCAAGCCCGCTGCCTTTGGCCTGCTGGAATGCCCGCTGGCACCTGTATGCATCCTCTTTGCCTCACCTCTCACACCTACCTCACCTTTCTCACCTCCCTCACCTCTCTCACCTTCCTCACCTTCCTCACCTCTCTCACCTCCCTCACCTCCCTCACCTCCCTCACCTCTCTCACCTCTCTCCCTCACCTCTCTCACCTCTCTCACCTCTCTCACCTCTCTCCCCCCCCTCACCTCTCTCCCCTCCCTCACCTCTTCACCTCTCTCCCCTCTCATCACCTCTCATATCTCGCCTTCCTCACATACTTTGCCGTACAGCTTCCCTCCCGCCTCCCATCAGTTGGAATGGTCCCAACCCAACTCATGGGTGGGGTTGCCGCCAGTTCAAGTGGCCATGGCTGTTGATGCTGCTGAGGTGGCAGCCACAATCACCCAACTCCTTTAATCTATTGTATGAAGCTGCATGGTGGCATGGCCCTCTCCTGCAAGTGGCCATGGCTCTTGGTGCAATGGTGCTGCTGATGAGGTGCCTGCCGGCTGTTGTATTAGTACAACACAACACTTGGCATGTTCAGGCTGATTGTGGTCATGGCGCTTGGTGCAGAATATCCAGAAGTGTTCAGTTGTTCCAAATCATATGTGGTGCATATACCCTACTGTACCTGACATGTTTTAGGCATGAGCCAGTGATCATTCACTTAAATGCTTGTTGGCAGTCATAATGAGATAAGTACCGTAGTACAGACAAGACCATGAGATGAGGATGTGATGTGATGGCAGTTGTGGTGATGGTACCGTATCACCCCGGATATAAGCGCAGGCCTAAGCTAAGCGCATGCGCTTGTATCTGGAGTAATGCGCTTATGGCCGATCCTCATTTATAAGAGCACCCCTCTAGAATTCTTTACTTATTATAAGCGCACCCTTCTACAGTTCTGATGTTTTTAACACTGTTTTAATTATTTACCGATTCACTATATCCCCTCACAGGGCTTTCGAACAAACTCCACTAATATTTCACCAGAATCGCACATTTTTCTACAAGTTTTGCCATCTAGAGGCAGGATTTACTACCTAATCTAGCCTAAGGGAGGTCACTCCTCATCCGACTCAGGCTCCTGGCAGTTGTTGCCCTAGAAGCCATCAGCCTGGATCTCATCATCTACATCAACTTCGTGCGTCAGCTGGCTCCTCCGGTGTGCCATCGCCAGCTTGTCCTCGCTGCCGTCCAGTGCGTTGCTAATGCCGCACGTCAGAAATGCCTTCTTGATGAGCTCTGCGGGCATGGCCCTCCAGGCCTTGGAAACCCACTTGAGAACGACCGCCGGAGGCGGTTTCTTGATGTTGCCTGCATGATGATTAAACAAAAGAGGAGATGAGTTTAGAACCTTGCGACGGGGCAAACATTGGAATTCATGGCTGGTGAAGACAATGTGATGCTCACCTGCTGTGGTCAATGCGTTCATGCCCTCTTGCTCGAACCAGTTCTGGTACTGCTGCCGCACCGATGCCTTGAAGCTTTTGTTGATGGCCACATCGAGCGGCTGCGCCTCTGTCGTGCATCCTGCCAGGATGACCGCGGGGACGATGTTGCACTCCGCGAACTTCTTCTTGACTTCCTTCGTCAGGTGACCTAGATAGGAGTCGAGGACAAGCAAAGCGCTTCGTCCCTGCACGCCAAACTTCGGCTTGATGAAAGGCGCTACCGCCTTATCGAGCCACTCGATGACGTTCTCCGCCGCCATCCATCCATTCTCTTGAACGCCGACCACGACACTTGCGAAAAAAGGAACGGTCGTTAGTGGGGTAGAGGCAAACACTAAACGCACACACAACACATCTACATCCTTACCGTTCGGGAAGTCGCCCTTTGGCACTGTCTTGCGCTTGAAAAACACCCACGCCTTCAGCTTCTCCCTCGTTGCCGTGCACGCCAGCATCATCGTGACGCGTTCTTTCTGGTACCCGCCGCTGCGGATGGGCACCAACTTCACGCCCGTCTGCTCCACTGTGGTTGTCGCCGGCATCTCCAGCCACAGTGGTGTCTGGTCGGCGTTGATTATGTAGCGACTTTCGATCTCATAGTCATGCTGTGCTTCCCGAACGAACGTCCAGAACTCCTTGCACTGTTTTGCGATGTCTGCGCAAGAGGATTAATGGCCAAGGCGGAAGGGCGGATTAGTTACTGTAGCTCACAGACAAGGGACGCAAACACAACATGAACACCGAACGAATTCCATGAATTTCAAAGACGGTGCATGGCACTTACGTTGCTATGTTTTCTGTGTCAAAATGTTATAGTGCTTACATTGTGTAGGCTGTAGTGGGGTAGCCCATAGGGGGTACAACCCAATTAGGGTTAGTACTTGTACCCAACTCTTTCATAGTTCATTCATTCTCGTTCATTCTTCTGACATGGTTTCAGAGCAGGTCCTCTTCTAGGACCGATTTTTTTTTAGGGCCCACCAGAGAGCGTTGCCCCACTAGTAGCTTAGCCCTGCCCTGCCCGTCGTGTCGCCTTGCCTGCGGTCGCGTCGCCCTGCCCTTAGCAGCCCGTCGCGCCGCCCTTTGAAGCCCGTGCGCCGCCATTTGCAGCCCGCGAGCCGCCCTTTGCAGCCCGCGCGCCGCCCGGTCGCTGCCCGCCCTGCCTTGCCTGCGCGCCGCCCTGCTGGCCGCCGCGCCGCCCTTTGCAGCCCGTGCGTTGCCCCTTTGCAGCCCACCGTGCCGCCCTTTGCAGCCCGCGCGCCGCCCCTTGCAGCCCGCTCGCTGCCCTCTGCAGCCCGCGCGCCGCCCTTAGCAGCCCGCCACGCCGCCCCTTGCAGCCCGCGCGCCGCCCTTTGCACCCATGCGCCGCCCTGCTGCTGCCCGCTCTGCTGCTTGCGCCGCCCAGCTGCTGCCCGCCCTGCTGCACGCAGCCCTGCTGGCCGGCGCCCTCCTGCCCGCGCTGCCCTGCTGCTGCCCGCCCTGCTATGCGCCGCCCTGCTGTGCGCCGCCCTGCTGGCCGACGCCCTGCTGCCCGCGCACCGCCCTGCTGCCCGTGCGCCGCCCTGCTGCCCACGCGCCGCCCTATTGGCAGTCGCACCGCCCTGCCCGTCCTGCGCACTCCTCTAGTGCTCTAGTGCTCGCGCGCCGCCCTGCCTGCGTGCCGCTCTGCAGGTCGCGCGCTGCCCTGCTCTGCCCGCTATGGATTCTCTCACTGTACTCACATTCGATCATGAGGGCCGTCCGATCCAGTTCGATACGTGGCTCGACGACTTACAGCTGTACCTACTTAGCGATTCTAGAGACAGCGTTTCGTTGTTTGACCACACGTCTGGAGCCTCTTTCGCCCCTCCCGCCAGAGCTGACAGTGCGACTCGCTCACGGTGGCTTACTTGTGACGCTGCTGCTCGCTTAGCCGTTCGCAATCACGTGCCGTTAGCCGAACGTGCTCACTTTGGAAAGCACAAGACTGCTAAGGCCCTGTACGACGCTGTAGTCGCTCGTTAATCTTCCCATACCACTGCTGCTCTCGGCCGCCTTATACTGCCCTACCTGTCTCCCGAGCTGTCAGCCTTTGCCACAGTAGAGGACCTCGTTACCCACCTTCGCACTAGCGATGCTCACTACCGCTCTACCCTCCCAGCCGAGTTCCTAGACAGGACCCCCCCCCCCCCCCCCGATGTACATCACTCTCTACTTCATAGTCATCTGCCTCCCTGACTCTCTTCGCGCAGTCAGGGACCACTTTCTCGCACTTGACCCCACATACCTCACTGTCGACCTGCTCGAGAAGCACCTCCTTGCAGCTGAGACTAGCGTAGTCGATGTAGGTGCTGCTCGTGGCACTCCTCGCACACCCTTCTTTGAGGGGTGTTCCCCCTCCCCCCTTGCCCCCTCCTACGCTTCTGCTGCTGCTGTTGACATCCATGGTGCTGAGGATGTCGGGGCTGCTTCTGCTCTTAGTGGGGAGCGCCGCAGCAGCATGGGCAAGGGTGGCAGGAGTGGTGGCGGTGGCAGCGGGGGTAGTGGTGGTGGAGGCAGTGGAGGCGGTGGAGGTGGCGGAGGTGGTGGCAGCGGTGGGAGTGGTGGCGGGAGTTGGGGCTTCGGTGGTGGAAGTGGTGGCAGCGGTGGGGGCCGGGGTGGTGGTGGTGGCGGCAGTAAGAGTGGTGGAGGCGGCAGTGGTGGCGGTCGGGGTGGAGCTGCTCAGAGGGGAGGTTCAGGCGGTGGCCAGAGGCAGCAGCAGCGGGGTTAGAGCGAGAACCCTACGCCTCAGCAGCTTCGTGAGTGGTTTGCTCAGCGTGGGGCGTCTGGGGGTAGTGTTCGCTGCCCGTATGTCATTCGCACAGGTGACCGCGCTGGTCGGACACGCGGGAAGTTTCACACTCAGCACTGCTACTTCTCCCACCTTAACGACACTTAACGCTCAGAGTTTGGAGACGAGGCTGAGCGCCCCCGCCGGGCAGAGCTGCTTAGGTCTGGAGTTGATATCTTTGCTCTTGACTATGATGCTATCCTTGCTGCCATGTATGCCTTGTCTGTTAGTGCTGAGGGTGACTGTTACCTGTGTGTGCCGCCCGAACCAGGTAGAGAGGCTGCAGTTCTAGGTGCTAGTGAGTCTGCTCTCCCTGGTACTGCGCCTGCTCAGGCCTTGCACACCTTTACACTTGACTCAGGTGCTTCCCGCTGTTTCTTTCGCAACAGTAACAACCTCACTCCACTCCCTACACCTGTTCCAGTCAGACTGGCTGATCCCTCAGGGGGCACAGTTCTTGCCCGTTCTTCCACTGTTCTCCCGTTTTCGGCGGTTCCGTCCGGCTCACTGTCAGGTCTTCACCTCCCCTCGTTCTCTACAAGCTTGGTGAGTACCGCTGCCCTCCAGGATGCAATGGTCACTACCACCACTCCTAGGGATCAGCGTGTGTCGATCCGCACGTGTACACGGACGGGCCGTCACCTGGCCACGTTCACCCGTCAGCCTGGGTCGAGTCTGTACACACTGGCTACCGAGCCTCCTCGGGTAGCTGCGTCTGCCCAGGTGTCCATGTCAGGTCCGGCAGCACCCCCCTGCTCGTGTCGCCTCCTGTCGCACCGGACTCTCCTGTGGCACCACCGCCTTGGTCACCCCTCCCTGCCACGCCTTCGTGGCATGCACTCCCGCCTCCTTGTTTCTGGTCTTCCCACGTCTCTGCCTCCCCTCCCGCCCTCACCTGCCCCGCCCTGCCTTCCTTGCGTCGAGGGGCGGCAGCAAGCCGCTCCTCACTCCTCCTCGTTTCCCCCGACGACTGCTCCCCTGCAGAGTCTCCACATGGACATGTGGGGCCCAGCCCGCGTCAGTGGACAGGGCCGCGAGCGCTACTTTCTGCTGGTTGTTGACGACTACACGCGGTACACCACGGTCTTCCCCTTGCGCAGCAAGGGTGAGGTCCCTGATGTCTTGATCCCTGTTAGTCTGTCTCCAGCTCC